CCCAACTCAAGTTGTGAGCGGTTGTGGGTGATTCACATGACCAGGTGTCGAAGAATCAACCCGTGAGAGCACTTGATCCTTGCGTGGATCAAGGGAGCTACACCCTTCTTGTGTGGTGCTCAATGAGGACTAGTGGGGAGTGGCGACTCTCGATACCTCGGCAAAACATCAGCTTTTCCGTTCTCTCTCTCCTCTCTTTACTTTGAGCATTTCAATTCTTGTCATTTACATTCCTAGAATTGCCATTCTAGAGTAGGAATGGAACTAGGTTGCTAAACTTTTATGCGTTAGATCGATAGAAGCACTTCTCTAGGCACAAGGGGTTAATTGGGCTAACCATAGGACTTGTTTATTGCGAAGAAATTTAGAATTAGCCCAATTCACCCCCCGCATCTTGGGCATCTTGATCCTTTCAGGGCTAATTCTAAATTTCTTTCAATAATTAAACCCTACGGTTAGCCCAATTAACCCCTTGTGCCTAGAAAGTGTTTCTAATGTTCTAACGCACAAAAAGTCTTGCAACCTAAGTTCCAATCCTACTCTAGCCTGGCAATTCTATGAATGTAAAGACAAGAATTGAATTGCTCTAAGTAAATGCACAAAGTAAGGAAAGAAGGAGGAACGTGGCGATGTTTTGTTGAGGTATCGGAGAGTCGCCACTCCCCACTAGTCCTCGTTGAGCACGGCGCGTAGGGTGTAGCTCCCCTTAATCCGCGCAAGGATCAAGTGCTCTCTACGGGTTGATTCTTCGACACTCCGTCGCGGTGAATCACCAACAACCGCTCACAACTTGAGTTGGGTCATCCACAAGCTCTCCGGATGATCACCAAGCTCCCAATCAGCACCAAGTCATCTAGGTGATGGCGATCACTAAGAGTAACAAGCACGAACTATCACTTGACCACGACAAGCCTAATGAGAAGGGTGGATGCACACTTTGCTACTCTTACTTTCACTAATGAGGGCTCTCTTTAGGATTCTCAAATCTTAATCACCTCACTAGGACCTTGCTCTTCTTGGTACTTTCAAAGGTGTTTCTCAGTTGTTGGAATGAGCAAAAGTGCCCCCACATACGAGTGGAGGAAGTATTTATAACGCCGACTGAAAAACGAATCGTTATGTGCCTCTGCGGGGTGACCGGACGCTCCGGTCATGTTGACCGGAGCTCCGGTCAGTTCTCTCCAAACTCCAGTGTTTAAGTTGTGACCGGTGACGCTGGCGCCGCTCGTCAAGATTGGCGGACGCGCGTCGGTCATGATTTTCCTCTCTAGAACCTTCATGGAGTCGACCGGACGGCCCTCAAAGATCTGGTCACTTTCTTCTCTCTCGTCGTCGCATTCTTGATTCAGACGAAATCACTTTGGTCAAATGAACTGACTGGACTCTACGCCAGCAACCGGTCACACCGAAACCAGTGTCCGGTCAGTATTTGACCCTCCATTCACTTTCAACTCTCGATCATACGTGAATGAAGTTTGCTCCATTGGATCTAAGGGCTATTTTTGAGCTACCTAGTGCTAGATTTAGCAAGTGTGCACCACATCTAACTCACTAGACTCACTTAGGTCAAGCTACCCGTCCATACCCCCCTTAATAGTACGGCCAACGGAAAAACAAAGTCCTAAACTACTCTAAGTGTCTCTTCAACTCCAATCGACACTTAAAACTAATCCATCCTTAACCTTGTCGTCCATCCTTTGAAAACCGAAACGATTTCCATCATAGGGGCATGACCACCATGATTGCCCAATCGGTCTCCATTATCATGACCTAACTTAATTGCCTCTGCAAAACACACGTTAGTTATAGTAATCACGTATTGTCATTAATCATCGAAACCCATCTAGGGGCCTAGATGCTTTCAATCTCTCACATTTTGATGATTGATAACAATACCACCTCAAGTATGTGAAAGAGATAAGGTTTTTAACATGCTTGGATCATATAAACTTTTGACAATAAGAACAAAAGAGTTAGTCAAGCTTATGTGACCCAACCCAATATGATATATTCAAAAGATATGAAATAAGCATGAGTACAAGTAATAAAGCTCATTTGCAACGGAGTAAAACATAGAAGCAAAGAAAATGAGCTCAACACAAGTGATATAACATATAAATAAATCAAAATAGAGAGCACACATGTCATATATCACGATCATGTAGATATCACTATCACATATATATAGTTTGATGCATAAAAGTAAACACATGACGAATGCATAATAGTGTATTACACATAAAACTCCAAATGTAATATATAAGTTAATAGATAAACTAAGCTCCCCCTAGATATGTCGCTCCCCCTAAGTCTAACATACTCGATCTCTCTCCCCCTTTGGCGTCAAACATCAAAACCTAAGAGTTAATTTGTTGAAAATGAATAGATATGTTTACTTTAAATGGTTAATTTGTTGTTTTTATCATGGCTGTCATCAATCCGGTCAAACCCCACTGTTAAAGATAATAGGCTAAGTCTGATGAGTTCATAAGTATGTTCTTGTTAAATAGTCGATTGTTTATATGTTGTAGTCTCTTTTCTACCTAAATCAGCTATTTCAGCCGATTCGCTTGTGCTTTCACACATATAGCATGTCTTTCAGAAAATCTGTCAATGTATAGACGGTTTTATAGATTCTTCGGTTTTAGTTTGTTATTATCATCATAGCTGCCATCGATCCGGTCAAACCTCACTGTTGATAGTAACAGATTAGATTCAGAGCGTTTGTAGATCCATTTATACTAGACAGTCGATTTGTTTGCATGTTATATCATTTCTCGTTAGATTCATCGGCTCAATGTTTTACACTGGTAATATCCACCTAGCTGATGATTTTACTTACATCTGCGTGTATTATACTTGTCATCATAAAATCAATCGCAACTGACGAGCTTTATATTCCTTAATAGCCAATTTCTTCGCGTATCGACTGTTTAGTCGATTTTTCCCGTCTAGCTGCTCCTGTAGGGGCACACTTGGAACTATCTGGGCAAGACCGGCATGTTCCACCTTAAATTACTGATAAACTTTCTCTGCTTGTCAATTGCAGGTCAAATTGACTGACACGTCTTCGGAAATTCACAGGATCGACTAGCCCTGCGTTGAAGTCAAGCGGATCTCCAGCCTTTGTCCATCAAGCTGATCCTTTCGGCTTGTTGTGTGCCAGGCGCATCGACATGTTTTTGCGACCACACTAAGAATGTATAGAATACATAGCAAGTTATAGTTTAGCCATGCAAAAATACTAGAAGAATGGATGCAAGCGTAGAAATAATTATTAACCTACTGTCATATCATATCAAGGAAAAGCATAAAGAATCCAATAGCTATCGATGTACAAGTTAGCAGCATCTCCAAATCCACGTAAAACCACAAATGAGAATACTGTAAAATACCAGAAAAAATGGGCCACAATTTTTTATGCATATTAATCAACAAGCAATCTGGACGAGCTAGCAAAAAGATCAAGAATGGGCCACAATTTTTTTGCAGATTAATCGACGTTCTCATCATGCACTGATGTCCTCAAGAAAAATACCTCCTCGGTCATGTCATGGAAGCCACCAGCGATCGAGATCAGCAAGTAGTCACCAGTTGCTGGATCTTCATCGTCTACATAGGGCAAAAAAAAATGCAGAAATAAAATCAAGATGCGGCTTTGATGTCCTCCAGAAGCCCTAAAAAATTCATAGAAACCTATTTGGAGAGTAAATAACGGAGAAGCAAGTCACCAGCACGAACATCATAAATAGGCAGTAGCATTAAAAACAATGATAACAGTAAGAAAGTATGCGAGCAACACACAAGCATGAGTTCTTAGGGGCTGATCCATGCCTAGGAGCAGTAAAGCACACAAGGTCTTGCATGCTGCCAGACGTTCGATTTATCAGGTTGTGTGTGGTGGCCATATGACAGTTGTGCGTAGTAAAATAACGTGACTGTATGGAAATGTGTTCCAACATTAAATATAAATGTGCTCCAACAATGTATAAAATTGTGTTCCAATAATGTATAAAATATGCTCCAATAATGTATAGAAATCTTCTAAAATTGCTTACACGGTTGGCTCAAGAAGCATAGAAATAAAAAATCAATTGCACAGAAATCATGCATGCCTGCGTTGGTAGCTCTTCATTTTCTGCAAACCACTTATTCATCCTGCTGCATCCAAAAATCAGATAAAAACATGGAAAAACAATTGTCGTATGTCGTAAAAATACATCATGGCTACCCAATGCATAAAAACCAGGAACATTTTTTTTATGTATATTAATCAACAAGCAAACTGGACTACTGGAGCTCACAAAAAGTTCAAGATTGGGCCACAATTATGCAGATTAATCGATGTTTCACCCGATACTGGGTGTGGTGCTGCCGGCCATGAATTGATCTCGCCATTCAGTGCTGACACGCAGCGATAACGTGCGGAACTAGCCACAGGTCTCCTCGACACGGTTCGTGGACCTGCTTGGGGCTGACCGACTGGCACAGAGACCGACTGGCGAGGGAGGAGTGCCACCGGGCGAGGGAGGAGCCGCCGAGATGCATCAAAATAATTGCCTATGCATAGAAACTTATGCATTCAAGTGCAAAAAGCAAAATTGTCTCTCGCTAGATGCATCAATATTCTGAATCAAAATTCCATAGAAACCTTGGTTGCTCAGTGGAGGAAAGCAATTGTGATGTAAATAAAAAATCAAAAATCAATCGCATAGAAACCATTTTATCAAACACACGCAATCGGCCATTGAAATCTCACAGAAATCTCATTAAGCACATGCACATCAGAGGTTTAGGCATCTGTGCATGTGAGGCCAAATCTCGTAGAGAACACCAACAGCTAAGAGGGCAAATGCGTTTTCCCTCTCTCTCTTCAACATTGCATCGCACCTACGTTTTGGATCACCAAATAAAGCTAGTTAATTGCACGGAACTTTGAAGAGCACGAATAGAATGGAAATCTCACGCACAGGAATGGCTGTTGCTTGCCGTTGCACAGGATGGCCGCGTTGACACCTTCCGCACGACGTGGACACCTTCCGCACGGGGTGCCCGCGTGGAAATCTCACGCACGGAACTTTGAAGTGCAAGGCGCCGTCGTGGACACCTTCTGGGTGGCCGCGCCGTCGCCGCGGGGAGGGCCGCAGCGTCGCCACTGCAGCTGCTGGGGCCTGGGGAAGAAGGACTCACCGCCGCCTGGGAAGGGGAAGGGCTTGCCGCCGCCAGGGAAGGAGCGCCGCTCGAGGCAGCAGCAGCGCGTCGTGGGCGCCGTGACCCGGAGCGCCATCCCGCTACTTGCGGCCGGGACCACGCGGACCTCTGCCGTGCAGCATCCAGTGCCGCCGCCGGCTGCAACACCCCGAGCGGGCCCCGTTGGACGCGCGGCAGGGGAGGTCCGCACCATCGACCCGCCTTGGCCGGCGCATCTGGCCGCACCAACGCCAGGGGCCGGGCGGCTGGCCGCGCCGATGCCGGGGGCCACGCATCTGGCGCCGTGGTGGGGAGGGGCCGCCGCGGGCCGTCGTAGGGAGGGGGCGTCGGGATGCAGTGGGGCCAAGCGAGGTGCCCGGACGGCGGACCCCATCTGCTCGTAAACGCGGGAGACGACGGGCGAGTCGAAGCGGACGATCTCCGGTACGGGCTTCTCGTTGCGCTAGGCCTGCTTGAGCACCTCGAGGTTCGTAGTCCCCGCCTCGGCCACAATGAGCTCGCCACAGATGCAGCCACCAACCAGGCGAGGTCAGATTCAGCGGTGGTGCACGCGAGGTCGCCGGCACCGGTCACACACGACAGCGGCGCAGGGATGTACAGTCTTTCGCTAGCATCGTATTTATGCGTGAATGTGTGTAATATAGGGTGTAAATCAAACTTGGATTTGATCATCGAAAACGCGAAACGAACATTCAATGTCGCGTTATCACGTACGGTTTTAAACGAATTTTTATTGAACGAAAATACTATAGAATGCATATACGGTAATTTAATAAAGTTTGTAGTATAAGCTTCGTAGGTGACGATGAAATATTTGAGGTCGCGAAAGGAATTCGCTAGCTAGCGTATAGAATAGCTTGGAAATCGAATTCGACGCGAAACTGATCAAGACTTAGTCAAATTTCTTAAGTCGGAAAACGCTTTGACGAAGCTAAGTTCGGCAATTTTTGTAGAAAAATCGGGTTAAATAGTGGTATGGTCTTACGGCTTGTTTTAGTAGCCTAACATGCCATCTCGAGTGTAAAATAGGTGGTTTAGCAATTGAAGCATCGAGTTGGATTTTTAGGGCGCTTTACAAAGAGTGCAAGGCACGTTCCCGGACGGCTTCAGCGTCTGAACGCGGTCACCATGCCTCAGTTCGGCTCGGCACCGCAGCACTGGCTTGCCCAAGCGTGCACACCCGCACCGCTGTTGTCGTGCCCTGGCACGCGACTCACGCATGCATGCGCACGCCACGCCCGGTGGGCCTGGCCGCTCTGCCACCACCGCCACCGTCGCGGGGCCGCTGCCCTGGCCAGTCCGCTGCCACCTGCTTCATCGTGTCGCTGCCTGCGTTGCGTCGCGTCACCACGCTACTGCTAGCCGCAGCCGTGAGTGCTAAGTCGTCGCGTGCGCTCGCACTACTTGCGTCGCATCCGCCTGACCGCTCTACCACCGCCGCTGTCGTCGTAGGCCTTATGCCCTGGTCGGTCCGCTGCCGTCTGCCCCGCTATGTCCTCACGCTGCTGCTAGTCGTGGTCATGATTGCCGGGTCGCCCACGTGCGCCTTCACCGCTCGCGTCGCGTCCGCCTGAGCCGCTGCACCGGCACATGGCCATGTCGCCGTCGGCTTGCCATTTAAGGCGCAACGGCCGCACGAGCCGTGCCGACTCGTACGCGCACGTGTGTTTTCCCTGTGTGCCCTTGTCCGTTCGTTTGAGTGGCGAGCATCGCTCTACGCCCCTGGTCACCTCTGCCTTTAATAGCGCCATGCCGGTGTCACCAAGCTGCGCCAAGGCCAGCTCGCAGCGCCGGTCAAACCCATGCAATTGCGTGCGCCAGAGGATTGACTAGGAACCTAGTTACGCGCCGAACCCTCCCACTGCTACGCCCAGCCGGTGTCGAGCCCCAATTGGAATCTTCCTTCGTCATCGGCCATCTTAAGACCCCATGGCAGCGCCCGTCCAATTCACCTCGCATCGTCCACCTCCGTTCAATTCATTGGCACTGTGTCTTCGTCTTGTTCCCCTCTATCCCATGCGCACCCCAAATTGCCCTGCTACTGCCTGCCCAACGCCGCTAATGTAGTCGCGCCACCATGGCCGTCGTCGTGTTTGCCGTGCGCGCGTGGCCGGACTCACTCGGCCCGTCTTCGGTCAAGCTATCACGTCTGGTAGGTTCTGGGTGAGTTGCTGATGCCCAGCCTCTAGTCCTATCATTTCGGTTGCGCCTTGTCTCACGAGAACACAACCGCCGCCGCTTCAGGAGGTCCGCCGCCGTGGAGAGAGCTCGGGACAGTGTCTTCGTTTACCGCTTCGCCTCCCACCGCTTTGAGTTGGCGTCTAGGCGAGCATCGGCTCGCTACTAGGGGCTAGGAGGGGCTGGTCTGGCCGGTGTGACCGCCCGGTGCCAGCGCCGCCGCGTCGGTGCGCGCGCGGGTGCCCAGGGGCCCCGGTCGTGGTAAAGAAGGAAAGGGGAAGGGTGTATTTGTAAGATAGCTGACTGAAGAAATAGTGTTGTGGGCCTCGATTGGATTCGGTAGTAAAGTCAGGACGTTTTAGCAAATGTATCGGCGCACGCGGGCCTCCCCGTCGCGGGCCGTCGTCGCGCGGATGGGCCGCGTCCGCGTTGGGCCACGCTGGTGGGTCGCAGTGTGTGCTCGCGAGAGGCGTCGGTGTGGGCCAAGCCACTCGTGCAGTGGGTCGCGCGGGAGGATTCGGTTTTCCTTTTTCCAGTGAAATAATAAATATTTATTTAATTTAGTTTTGAGCTGATCTTTGTAAAATTGTAGTAAATTCTGTAGGTGTCCAAAAATAGAGAAACAAAATTTGTTAGGTTCAAAAATGCTATCTATCTATTGGTGCAGATAGTTTACAGTTGGCTGTAATAATGATAGATTCATAAATTCAATTTAGAAAGCTTAGTATTATTTAGCTCAATATTTGTAGGAATTTTTGTGGCAAATTGGTGATAATTTTAGCCATAAAATTTTTACAGTAAGTTCATTAGATTATTATGTACTCACTGTAATTTTTGTAGCCCTTGAGTAGACTGATATATAGGGTAGCTAATACTCCTTGTTTTAGTATATATAGTAAATCGGTATTAAGAGTTAGAATACCTTTAGTAACTAAGATAGTACATGTCATGTTTCATACCTATTAGTGGTGGCAATAGGTAACTTAGCACCTTAGTCGGTAGAACCAGCTTAGTAGCTTGATAGGAGTATTTGTATTTTAAGAGTTGATGTTGCCGTATTACTAGGTGTTGCATCATCATTTCATGCATGTAGATAATGAGTTGATAGAGTTCGTGCCTACGGACGAACAGGACTACGAGGAGATCATTGAGGAGTACGAGGAAGAGATTCTCGTACAGGAGGGAGCCCCGGAGTCGTTCGTTGCTGACTTTGTTAACACCCCGCCTGCCCAAGGCAAGTCCCGGTGCATAACCCCTATTTTTGAATGATCATTAAATATATATGATGTGCATTTATGTTACAGGCATTTCATGGAAACTACATGCATAGATATATCTACCTATGAGTCCTACTAGTATAGGTCGAGTAGCTGCTATGCTCAGGGTATCGATAGCATGAGTAACCTGCCGTTACTCACAATAGGTGAAAATTATGATCACTTATGATAAAATGTTGGAAAGGAAAATGGAGACCAGGTAGAAATATGGTTGGGTATTGGTGGGTGTAAGAGGTTGTGTCCTACGGCCAATAGGGCATAGCTTGATTACACTTTTTCCCTGTCTGTGTCGGTTAAGGACCAACCGTTGTATTGGGTTCTAGGCAAGTCATAGACTTATTATCCCGAGCACATACTTGTGTATGGGCGTAGGAAAGACTTGTTGCTCTCTTATCGTAGGTTCTGGCTCTTTTCGAACCGACTGATTGGAGGCGGGGATGGTGGAGGTCTAAGCACCGCACTGAGTCCGGGACTCAGGAGCGGGGGCTTGGAGTCCAAGTTTGGACAAGGACCTAGACCCTGTGACAGGAGAGTGATGGGTTGGTCCTGCTTGTGCCTAGGGTATAAGCGGAGCGTGTGTTTTGGGGTACCCAGCTAGGCACATTGATTCGCGAATCGTCGGACAATCCGGTACGGCTTGTCTACAGTCTAGCACCATAGTAAGAACTAAAAGATGAAAGGTGATGAAATGGAACTGATTGCTCAACCCTTGCTTCAAAATATAACATGTGCTTACATAGAATGGCTAGATAATAAATTAATCATGACTGCTAATAAGAACATAAATAAGGACTCACTATTAGAATTGCTTTATGCAAAAAGAAACCCAGCAAACCATAAAGCTTATCATATCCCTTGGAGTCGGGAAATTATTCCCACTAGTCAGATAAGTCTTGCGAGTATATTGTGTACTCAGGGTTTATTTACCCCTGTTGCAGGTATTGCTTGAGGAGTAGCCATTGTGTGAAGGATTCTTCTGGTGGGCACAGACGGATCCTTGCTTATTATCGATAGATGTTTAATTGATGTTTATTTTCATTCCGCTACTTAATATTCCGCACTCTGAAGTTGGTAATGTAATAATATAATTTTTAAGAACTCTGGATGTATGAAATGGACTAAGTATTGTAACTCGTTCTCATTATTGGATCCTTAGAGAAAAATGTGGACTATTCGGGCTTTCCCTTGGGGTGTGCCCGATGGAATCCGCCCGACGTAGCTTGCTTTCGGGGTCCTTAGTGTCTGGTGGAAGACGAGCGCCTCCGAAGGTGTGTTATTTCGGGCGGTTCTACCATAGTTGGTACCAAAGCCAATAATGAGTCTACGAGTTTCATCACTCTTTTTCAAAACTTAAAATTTGACCAACAAAAGTTTTGCGAAAAGTAGGATGCGATAAAATTATCTAAATAAGTATAAGCCCTAGCAATATGGTCTATCAAGGATCTAATCAGTTTTCTGCAGGAATACTAACTTACGCTGTGTAAGCATTGTTTAGCATATGAAAAGTGAGTGTGCGATGTGCCGAAAATACTTGCGGATGCCGCTATATTCCGGCCTGAGTGAACGTATAGGCCGATGCATGCATCATGATAATAGAATCTTGCTTAAAATAATTCCCCCTACACATATAAATTGGATTAGTAAATTGATAGGATAAACAAAAAGAATGCTTTAATAAATGTCTTGTCATTTCTCTAATCCACTATTTCTGATCTAGAGGGGTGTCCTAAGTGGTTGGTTCCTATCTATTACAGATGAATCTGAGGTCCGATCGTGGGAGCACCAGTGCCGGGGTGGGCCACGGTCTTGACGAGGACCAAGGTGAAAGTGGCTGGGGCAATGAGCATGGCAACAGGGAGAGACATGAGGCTCCACGTCTGGCTCCTCCTCCTCCGCCACCGCCACCTCCGATGACTCATGTGGAGATG